ACGTGACGCGGCCCCGCCCCCCAGCCGCGCGATTGGCCGCCGCGGCCAGCTGTGCGGGCCTCCATTGGCCCGGGGGCGGGGCCTCGGCCGGGGCCTCGGCCGGGGGCCCCGGTTCCATAACCTGAAGCGAGTGGGCGGGGAAAAGGCGCCGACGCCCTTTACGTAACGCCGGTGTTCGGGTGGTGGGCGGTGCTCGGCCAATCCGGAAGGCGGGCGCGTAGACAGCGGGGGAGGGGCCCTCAGAGGGTGGAGCCCGGGCCGGGAGAGTCGAGCGCTCCGCCCCTTTCACGGCACCGGGGCGGGGAGGTGGGGTGGGAGGGAAAGAACAGCGGGGCGAGGGGCGCCTGGGTGGCGCAGTCGGTTAAGCGTCCGACTTCAGCCAGGTCACGATCTCGCGGTCCGTGAGTTCGAGCCCCGCGTCAGGCTCTGGGCTGATGGCTCAGAGCCTGGAGCCTGTTTCCGATTCTGTGTCTCCCTCTTCTCTGCCCCTCCCCCGTTCCCGTTCATGCTCTGTCTCTCTCTGTCCCAAAAATAAATAAACGTTGAAAAAAAAATAAACTTAAAAAAAAAAAGAACAGCGGGGCGGCTGGAGCCAGCGCGGCAGGGATAGGGCGCTCGAGCCGCCAATCACGAGAGGGCGGGACCCGGGCGGGGTGGGGTGGGCCGGCCTCCAAGTGAGGGGCGGGTGTTCCGGCAGGCGGTCGGGCGCGCAGGTGGCCGAGGCGGCGCGGGCCCGGGTCGGGGACAGTCCTGGGGGGCGGGGCGGGACGGGCCTCACCCCCACCCGGGCGCGGGTAGAAGGCTCTCGCCGTCCGAGCCTTTTTCGCGCCTTCTCGGGTTCCCTTATTTGCGTTTTGCTCAGCCTTCCTGCTTTCTCGCCCTTCAGCTCTTGAGGCTTGGAGGAGGACCCGGGCGGTAAAGCAGCCCTCCGGAAGATCAAAGCCGTTTTTCAGAAACGGAATTTTGACGACGGACTTCACACGTTGCCCCGGTCTTCTTTAGGTGACAGGTTGATTTGGCAACTGGGGGAGGACAAGTGTATGTAAAAAACACTGTCAGAAAAGGAAGGTGCAGAGAAACCCTTTTTAAAAATACCAGTCTGATGGTTTTTTTAGAATGTGTGTTAACTCAGCCCAAGGGCAGCGCTCCGCCCCTCTCCAGTGCCTGGCACATCAAAAATCTTCAGTGTTTATTGGATGAATGAAAGGAATTGTATAGAAAGGGGGGCGGGGAGTGAAGTGTGGCAATTGTTTATATCATGTATTGGATAATCCACCTCATTTTCCCAGATGATGGCAGATCTCACTGTCCTCTTGTGTTTTTGTCAAACTGCTTTCGAAAGCACATTTATTGAGTGGATTATTTAGGCGGGGATGATTCCGGTCCCTGAGAACGCCTGGTGGCACAAGTCCCTGCCATTGAGGGTGCCTACATTTTATGAAGGCCTAAAACAGGAGCAAGTCCATGGAGGTCAGAAAGTGGAAAGTACTGTGTAGAACAGGAAACAAGCTAATGGGATGAAGTATGGCTGGGACAGGGATGGAGGGTGAAGGAGGCAAGAGACACATTATCCTGGTGACTAGGGAAGCCTCTCTGAGAAGGTGAACTGAAACCTGAGTTTGTGTATGGGGGAGGGGGAGGGAGCACAATGCACCTGCCGAAGCCCTGACAGCACGCGTGCTGTTAAGGAACAGAAAGGCAATATAGTTTGCCTGGAGAATAGACGGAGGAGGAATGGTGTGAGGGGAGGTCAGCAAGTTAGGAAGAGCCGGATTATAGTTCGGGAACACAACTTGGATTTTCTTCTAATGGTAGTGGGAAGGGGAGGATTTTAAGCAAACCAGTGATCTGTATCAACCAGAATGCCACACAGGAAGCAGGTAACAGGAAGCTGTTAATTACGAGAAGAGGCTGAGGACGGCCCAGACTAGGGTGGCACCAGGAGGGATGGTGACAGGAGCCATTGGACGTGGGGTGCGTTTAGGGCACGGGAACTTGCCAAGGAGTTGAATGTATGTTGTGAGAAGAGAGCGTGATCCAGGGTGACTCCTGGGTCTTTGGTTTAAGCAGTGCTGTGTTTCGTGGGTCATCAACTTAGATGGACAAGTCTGGGGATGGCAAGTTTTGATGAAGGGAGAATGGAGACCCGTTTCCCACATGTTATGTCTGAGATGTACATGACACAGGCAGGTGGGATTGTCAGATGGGCGAGTGGATCTCCCAGCCTGGAACTTAAGGGAAAAGCGAGGATGGAGATTTGGGAGAGGCAAGAGCCCTATGGTGTTTACAGTCATATGGGAAATGGTGTTGACATTAGAGTGCAGACAGAAAGAAAAGGGCCAATGGTCAAGACCGGGGGCACATGGAGATTCAGAGGCCGAGCAGAACACCAAGTGAAGGGACATCTGGGTGGCTCAGTCGGTTGAGCGTCTGACTCCTGACTCTTGATTTCGGCTCAGGTCATGATCTCATGGTTTGTGAGTTGGAGCCCCGTGTCAGGCTCTGCGCTGACAGTGCAAAGCCTGCTTGGGATTCTCTCTGTGTGTCTCTCTCTCGAAAATAAACAAAGTTAAAAAAAAAAAAAGAGAGAGAGAGAGAGAGCCAAGCGAAGAACAAGGAGCCATAGATGGGGTTGGAAGAAAAGCAGTAGAATGTTGGGTCGTGGACACTAGATAAACTATTTCAGGGAGAGAGCTATCAACTGTATCAAATGCTCGTGACTCAGTAAGACAAGGGCTGAGGATTTCCTGTTGTGTTTCACCAAGTCGGTGACCTTGGTTAAAGATGTCTCAGTAGTGTTGGCTGGAGGAGAAGCACAGCGTGAGGCAGTGACAACAGGGAGCCGTGGGGAGGGATTTTGCTGTGTGGGGCTATAGACAAGTGTTGTTCGGAGGGAGGGATGTGGGGATCACGATTAGGGGCTGACAGGGCTATTCGGTTAGGAGCGAGAAGGGAAGAAGCAGGAGAAAGCTGCAGACAACAGGGAGTTGCTGGAGGGGAGGCTTCCTTTAGGCTCGGAATCCACAGGCAGGCACCTGCGTTAATGGGATTGTCCATGGTCTTGTGGGCATAAAGACAAGTAGATTTTGAAATGCACTTAGCTTGCTATTTAAAGGATGAGAACAAACTGAGGGTTGAGGGAGGGTGGTGGAGAGGGGAAAGTGGGCGATGGGCACTGAGGAGGGCACCTGTTGGGATGAGCACTGGGTATTGTGTGGAAACCAATTTGTCAATAAATTATATTTTAAAAAAAGGATGAGAAAAAAAATCAGTTATTTTCCAATAACTATGCCATAATTGGTTTATCTAGTGCATTGTAGTTTAACAGATTGAATTTTCTGCTTGCCTGAAAAGCAGCTCAGTTGCAAATAAGGATGCTATTTTTTTCATTTTTAATTTTTTTTAAAGTAATCTCTACACCCATTGTGGGGCTTGACCTCACAACCCCGAGATCAAGTCACACGCTCCACCGACGGAGCCAGCCAGGCGCCCCAAGGATGCTATTTTTAAATGCACAAAAACAGTTTGGTTAATTTTAAAGCAACAATCCTCACTCAAAACCAATTAAAAAAAAAAATCACCATACTTTAAGAAACATTTTGTTAGTGATGCAAATACAGACTTTCTCATGTAGGATTCATCACTCATTAGAAAATAGTTATGAGACAAGAGGAGTTTGCTCCATTCTTTGACTGAAATCAATTGCCACCAGGAAGGCAAATGTTCATAAACACGTTGCATTTATCCTTCCGGTGACACGTGTTCTCTGCCCCCTCTGAGGTTAGGCATGGTCATGTGACCTGCTCCGGCCAGTAAAATGTGAGCAGAGCTGTCAGCCCCACTTCCAGACAGAGGCTTGGAGAGCCAGTGCGCAATCCCTGAGGTTCCCTTCCTGCCGCAGCGATACACAGTGAACCAGAAACGAATGTTTACAGGAAGCCCCTCCCCGAGCCACTGATGATAGGGGCTTCCTGCTGCCTGGCATTGGACGTGTACCCTGAGTGAGGAAAGAACTCTAAGCCGTTGAGATTTTTATCTATAATGTTTGTTATACAGCACACCTGCAGCACATTCTGAGTGACCTGTGTGGTGATCGAAAATGTCAGCAAGTCCAGGGGCACCTGGGTGGCTCAGTCAGTTGAGCGCCTGACTTCGGCTCATGGCGTGATCTCCCAGTTCGTGAGTTCGAGGCCCCGCGTTGGGCTTTAAGCTGTCAGCACGGAGCTTGCTTGGGATCCTCTGTCCCCCATTCTCTCTGCTCTTCCCCTGCTCACGCTCTCTCTCTCAAATATATATATGTATATACATATATATACGTATATATATATATTTATATATATCAGCAAGTCCAGTGGACTTGTCTAGTGTGGACCCTGGAAGGACGGTGGTGCCATTCTCTGGAACAGACACTGTTAATGGCAAGAGGAGGGGCGTGAGGCACGGGAATGCTTGATTCTGTCTGGTCCACCTTGAGTTTGAGAGGCCTGTGTGTACCAGACCAGGAATCATCAGGACACTAACGGATAGAGATGTGGGAAGAGGTAAGATTGCCCAGGGAGAGAAGAAGGATGGAGAGAGAAGTTGGCTGAGGGGGATCCAG